TTCCTCGCCCACTTGGGCCCGGTCTCATGACCAAGTACGGAATACCGAAGGCAGTAGAGAATGCAGGTGACTAGCGTGGCGGGAATCCGCACATAGTCATGCCAACGCTACTGCCCAGTCCACCCAACAAGAAGTGGACTCCCACTCAAGAAGAATGGATGAGCGGCTCTGATCGCACTTTCAGATGGATCCATTGCAGTCTGATTCTTAGTCCACAAGTCGGCCTCTCTAGACAAACACACACTGGACTGATTGCAATGTCTGAGTTGAATCTTCAACGGGAATGCTTCTAGATAGATTCAAGCGTGTCAGACTGGCCTCGCAACCTCTTCTTTGTCCCATGCATCAGTCGAGAATACGAGCTGTTCTAGTAACTGACGTTGGAAAGGGATTGCAGACAAGTATACCAACAAAGTAGCAGGTTTAGAATATCCTTTGGAATAATCTGCTGCCGTTTTATACGCCATTTTGACTTGAAATTACGAGAAGCAGACGATTTAAAGAACGTTTGTTAAATAGCAGACAACAAAGAATGGGAAATTTTAAAGCTCTGTAGGTATACATAACCATCAATTATTTGGGAAATATGGGTACTATAATATAACTGAACCTATAAAGGCAAAACGTCTCAAGGGTGCCTAAGATTCAGATATTGTAAAGGTTACCTAGATCGATGCTCAACGGGCACGAAGTAAGAAAATTAAGTTGGCAGATTGCCAAAATTAAAAATGAGTTTTACAGAGCAGGACATATTTATTGGTTCCGCTTTAGATGCATGTAGCTTAGCACTATTCCAAAGATTTATTAATTTCTGTCAATATGGAAGTTTTCCAGCTTGAACGCGTCCATGGAGCCCTCAAGTTAACTGTACTTAACTGTAAAAGTATAAATGCACCAATCCATAAATTTCAGGACACAGCTACATCTTTTGAGCTATGAAGATGAAACAAAGTGTAAGGAAGAGCCAAAAAAAAGATCTTCAAACAATTTATTACTGCTATGAAGTTTACAATTGCTGGTCTTAATTGCAAGGGTAATAAATGAAACATCTACAAAATTTAATGCTTAATCAAGTTATCGAATTCTACTCGGACCAACAATGTTCCATTTGTCGGTGATCTAGAAATAACAACGGTTATCCGGCAAACAAACTGAGGAACTATGGTCATTAAATTCGGAAAGCCAAACGGAGGGAACATAATAGTTGTGTATTCGGTTTTCTACCCAAAAGCATCACTTAAATATCTCCTAATCGAGTAGAATATGTTTTGGTATCCGGCAAAGACGGGCAGTAAGTATAGCTATTTCGGCCTGTTGACCCTCATCAGCTAAGTGCAGCCAACTCTAGTGTAGCCGCTGAAATTGCCGCCACACCCGAGTTCGAACTCGCGCCTCGCCGGTCAGTGGCAGAAGTCCTAATCATTGAGCCATCGAGTTCGATGTCTTGCCGGTTGTTGATCGGGAGTATATATTATTTCCTTGTACACCAATCTACCTCTCAGGATGTGCCCATCCTGGGTTGGTGCTTTTGCGACTCGGTCCAACCGATTGTGATTCGCAAAGCTACTAGATAAAGAACAAATATGCTTTATCCAAGAGCCAAATGAGCACAAGAACTGCAGCAAATGTTACAGATGCAACAACCATCCACCTAAAATCGTAACATTCCGGCCATCGGAGGACTAAAAACATGACAACGGGAGGACAGTATCACTTCCCGCGCCAGTATGTTCCTCCTTAATTTCGGATAGGGAGTAAAATTGAAACAGATTCCTAACCAAACAATCTGGACCAAAAACAACGGAAACGAAGGTTTGACGACTTTGCGATTAACTTATATTGGTTAGGCAAAGAGTTGAAACCGTATTTTCCAATAGAATTCAGCGTTTTCTTTTCAGTGACGTATCAGCTAATATTGCAAACATTTCAATTTCAGTAATATTGCATTTCAGAAGAAGAAGATGCGATCACTGGAACAAGAGTTTTTTTTCTGACATTTCGGATTCTCTTGGGGATCCTTAATCATAGGTAATTATAGGAAAGTCGGCGACATGCGCAGATAAGTATTGCATTTGTTAACTGACACTGCGTATTCCCTTAATTGGAGCTATATTTCAGCTAAAGTGAACTAATAGGTAGTGATATCAATCGACTCTGGCGAAGATAATATAATTGCTTGCTTAACGAGTATTGCAAATGCTGCTCAAAGTAACTCTGCACTAGACAAAACTTAAATAGGAATAGCTCTTAAAATTTCAGAAACTGTGGCCAGACTGGTTTCTAGCCGCTAGGCGAAAGTAAAGCCAACATTAAGCATAAAAAGGTTGTCACCAATAACTCCGAGAGCGCTCGCTCAGCAAGTATAGTCGGGGCGTACCACAATAATCACTTTAATCAATGCTGTGAAATTCAACGGTACTCTATCATGAAAAAAAGCATTTCGGAAAGAAATGCTCCTTCGTTACAGTTGTGAAAGTATTCGGTAGGGATAAACTACAGGATAATCTTCTAGCAAACAGCTTATGTCGCTCCTTGTAATCTGTCGGTACTGAAACGCTTCATCTGACACCGTGACTTGTCTCGAAAGGACTATTTAGGTCTATTAGGTAGATACAATCATAACATCGAAAGATACAAAAGCGGACGATGACCAATGCCTGCCTATGGGTGCTGTAGTAGATTTTGGAGAATGAAAGAAAAGTCGAATGGTCTAAATCAAGGAAAGACTGGAGGCTACTGACGTAATAATCTTACACGAAGTGTATACGACTGTTTGCTGAACAGCGTCATCGGTGAAAGCAAATACTCCCAAAAGCGCAAGTACTGGATTCGCCCAGGCGTTTGCTACCATATTCCTTTTTCCCGTTTATTAACATATATTCCTTATGACTTATTTTATCCATGCAGAATTCTGTTTTTCACAGATTAACGAATTATTAGAACCAATCAGCAACAGATTATCTACCTATAAAATCAAAAATAGTTTTCATTTTATTGACGAAAGTAGGCATCAAAAGATTTCTGACAAATCGATGATATCCCTGGATGCAGAGTCATGATTTACCAACGTGCCTTTGGATGAAACAATAGGCATCAGTTTTGGATATTATTCCGAAATTCACACGTCACCCGAAATATTACGGGACTAACTACAATCGTGTACAAAGAATGCCCAATTTCTATTCAACGGCCAACTATACAGACAAACTGATGGAGTCACAATGGGAAATCCACTTGGGCCGACCTTCGCTGACATACTTATGGGCCATCTAGAAGAAAAAAATATCCTCAAAATTGAACAGGACAACAATCTACAGAAGGTATGTAGATGATGCATGCGCGAGTGTTGATAACATAAAGAAAGCCGAATAATTACTGTTTAAAATGAATAGTCTGCATTCCAAAGTAAAATTTAAGA